CAAACGCGCCTTGAGGGACAAAATCGCTTTGCGTGTGTGCGTGCGAGCATACGTACGTGAGCGACTGAATCTGAACCTGAAAGAAAAATGAGAAAAAGTGTCACATTTCATTTTACGATTATCATTCCTCAGGATTGACTGCACCAATCTTATTCAAACTGGTCGCAATCGAAAGCTTGCATCCACATTGTATAAGAAAAGTGCCGTTAGATTTTTGATTATTGGCTTGGTTTCTGAGGAATTTTAATCGAACATTTATTAGACGTAAAACTCCGGATAAGGTACTTGGTAGCGCCGCGGCCCCTGTTATAGGCAATAGGCAAACAAACTGTTGACAAGCCGGAACGTTTTTTTTTATATACTTGGCGTCGCGACGCTACCGCGTCGCTTGATAACGATCGATGAATTTCGACCGGCTCGAATCGTCGTCGTAAGCATACTAATGTGATCGACTGCGGAAGCTCGTTCTCTGCCCATGGCAATAACAAAAGTTTTTCAACGTCGGTCGTTCGAGAACCTGCTGTTTGTCACAGTTTTTCAGCTCAAAGGATAACGCACGAGTACGCGCCGATCAGCTGAACGCGACGTTATTTACTCGCTCGTGTTTTGATTTTAAAGATTACCGTTTAAATATCTTAAACGAAAAGCGAAAACCGTTCGACTCTCGAACATATATATATATATATATGGATATATATATATTTAATAAAGTATATGTATTTAACTGCGTCGAGAGAAGGAAAAGAAAAATGGCAATAGCTAGTTGAGCGCGGCGTATACTTGTTTATTGTTTCGTTGTCTGAGGGGCTAAACATATGGTATCTATCTATTGAGAATGGTGTCCATGCGTTGCGTTACTGCGAGATCTTCGACAGTATCCCGGTGACAGTAACAAAGAAAGGAAGGAAAAACGCGTGAAAACGTGAGAAAAAAAAAGAAAAATATGGATACGATGCTTGCGATGTTTTTGGATAGATGGATTGCCATCAGATATCCTCTCACAGGGGTAAGTAGAAAATAAGTTTGATGATGCATATACAGGGTGACCCAAAGCACACTTGACAACGCTCGCGAGCAGGTAGAGCACAGTAAACTGAACAGAAAAGTCCTGTACCATTTTGCAATTTTCGCAATAATTATTGAAATATTAATTAAAAAAGATTGGAGAAACAGCGCGCGTTTCGCGCGGTTAGTGGAACGTACACTCTAGGCATGCCAGCGGCGAGCTTCGCAGTGTCGCACGGCAACGAAAAGTTTGGTGGCCCTGCGACGAGAGTCGGGGTACGCGCGAGCAGCGAGCGGCCATTAATAACAATTATTAAATGATTTAGATAAATAATGCTAATTAAATGCTTGCTTAACAATTACAAAAAGAATTAATTATTGAATAATAATATATTATTATTATTATTATTTTATTATGATTTTTAATTATTTTTTTACGTTTCGTGGAAAAAGAAACGATAAGAAAGATAAGAGAATTTTTTTGATGCTGCAATAATATATCATACTTACAAAAGGAAGCGATCGAGAATCAATTGTGAATTTACAATCCTTCATCAAGGTAGAATTCATAACTACGGTAAAACACAATAAGAAATTAAAATTGTGAACGCTGAAAATTAGATATCTATGAAAAAGAAACAAAGAATCTATCGTAGACGATATCGAAAAGCGATTTTGCAATACCGTAAAGTGGTTAGTCGCTATTGATACATCGATTGAGCAACGTCTAAAAATTTTTGACCGAGCGCAACATGACGACGACGATTGACAGTGACGATCGTGAGAAGATTGCGAGAGAGATTGTAAAAACGAACAAATCGATCGTTAAAAATATCGTTCTTTAAAAACTGGTCATATGGAGAAAGACGTCGCATTGGAGAGGCACTTTAAACCAATTATCGAACCTCTAAAACAACTTGTCGAAAATACAATCAATGTGGAATCTAATGAAGCGAAAATCGAATCATCGAGTATGCTCGAAGACAAGCATCCGAAAAAAGAGTCTGGAACAAGGTCAAATATATCACTGAACGATTCGCTAATAACTTCTACTCCAAATCAATCAAAACGTAAGCGAATGAAACAATTATCGAATGTGGTTACTTCTACTCCGATAAAAGATACAATCGAGTCAAATATTGTACGAAAGATCGTCTCCGTATGTGGAAGAAATTTTCGAAACCATGCCTGAAACGCTTGTGACGTCGGTTCAACATCAATTACAAACGTCCAAGGGTCAAAATACATTGCGCACACATCTGGGTCCACAGGGCAAAAATATGTGGGAGCTATTTTGAGTCAAGATAAAAATAACAGTATGGATTATGTTTACGGTGTTAAATTTTGCAACGAAGAAATGATGCTTGGTGATAAAATTTTTAATGTGGATAAAGATGATGTTGTGCCTCTAGCCGCTAAGGAAGAGGTCTTTAGGGATTTATACGCCCAAAGGATTAGGATCCACGCTCGAAATAAGACACTCCCGGACGTTAGGTATAAATTAATGTATTTCACAGGTTTTGGTACACTTTTACTTATTCGCGATTATAATAGTCGGGCGCGATGTACGGTATATCGATACTGTTGATATGAGCGAGCGAGTGAACGAGTAGTGAGCGATGTTAATGAGCTATATTACTGAGCTAGCCTCGGTGCATCTCGCGCTCAATATATATTAATTAATTAGATCGTTGATTAGGGAGGAATGTGGTGTCCCTGACCGGAGCATGTCTCGTGCTCCGCTCGTCAGCTGTCTAGTCAGCTGCTTACTCAGCTTCCGAGAACTTGACCGTAACTTCCTTCTCTTTAGTCACGTATCTTACTTTATTTTATTAATAATCTTTCATTACTTATTTACTCTTTCTTAATTATCTTTCCTTGATCTCTTTTCTAATTTTAATGCATTGCTTTACTCAGCTCTTTCTTAATCTTTTCTGTTTAACTTTATTGTTTTATCTTTTAATATATTGAGAAATTGGTCGGGTTACGACATCCCTCCCCCTTTGGAAAAAGAAAATTAACTATACGTGAATTTTCATCTACATATTTTTTCGCTCTACATTTTCGCATTTTACAATTGTTTCTTATATCTACCTTATTTCAATATAGCATCGCAGTGTTAGTTATCGCGGTGTCAGTTTCTATCTCAGCTGTTCTATTCGATCCGCTTGCGGTGCCGTAAATATGCTCTTGAATTATTTTCGGTTTGCACATCGGATTTATATTAGTTTCTGGTAGTTTTTTCTTTTCTGTCTTATATTTTTTCTTGACGTACATAATTGCTATTATGGTAATTATTAT